AGACTAGCTCAAATAGTATGCAAAATGGGATAATCCTTGGTGACTTTAATGCCCACAATCTTCTATGCGAAGACAGAAATGATTCATACAAATACGGCAAAATGGTAGGGAATTGGGTTAAAGACGACAATCTCATAACTCGGCAGTCACAAACGTCAAGACCAAGTCCACAACACGTGGAGTTCAATTGACCTCACAATTGCCACCAACAACCTCGCCTCACATTGCCAATGGCAAGTCCATGATGACACATAGGGACGCGATCACCTTCCTATACTCACCTGCATAGGTACATGTAGTACATAACAAATAGAGGAACAGCCCAATCCTCATAACACATGGGACTATGCAAAGGCTGATTGGCCTAAATTCAGGAAGGAATGTACATAATTCAAATCCTCAAATGTCGCCTCGGGTATTCCTGATCTTTTTTGCAACGATCTCACCTCAGCAATTATTGCCGCAGCTGAAAAATCAATTCCAAAAAGACCACAAAACGGACAAAACTCCGGTACCATGGTGGAACAGGGAAATGACCAAAGCTAGGAGAGTGAGAAAGAAAGCCCCAAATAGGTTAAAAAGGGATAAATCAGACTTTGCCCAATTTCGAGCAGCCAGGACAAAAGTAAAACAGCTCATAGACGATTCTGAAAAAGCGTCATGGCAGACCTTCTGCAAATCTCTAAATGAAAAAGAACAAATGCTAAAACGGTCTGGAGCAAAATACACGCAATCTGGGGTAAGCGTAAACCTACAAAAATTCCCAATTTAGCCAACCCCCATACAGTCAAAGAAAAGGCCAACATTCTAACCAAACAATTCTCATCTGTCAGAAGCAACAAAAATTGCAGCAAAGAATTCAAACAGGAAAAAATGCTTATGCTTAAGATTTCAAAACTGCCGCAAAGCAAGCATCTGGTATACAATATACCATTTACTGTGACAGAGTTTAATGATGCGATACAACATAGAAAAGGCACAGCATCTGGTCTTGACACAACCAGTAACGAGATATTGAAAAACCAAAAGCTTACTCACTGAGTTGTATAACACGATATGATCCAAACGAGAAGTCCCAAAAGCATGGGAACATGCTGCAATTATCACGCTTCTAAAGCGATGGAGAGATGAAGCCCTACCAAACTCTTATCGACCAATCTCACTCACCTCAAACATGTGCAAAGCTATGGAATCCATGGTTACAAAAAGGCTGATGCATCACCTTGTAAATGGCAACCACATCAAACCTGACCAAAACGGCTTCAGTGAGGGACACTTAAGTCTAGATCATATTCTAAGACTGGAAAAAGGAAATAAAAAAGCTCAATTATACAGACAATACTAGCCGCAGTATTTCTGCACTTCAGCAAAGCCTTCGACATGGTATGGCATGACGGACTCCTCACCAACTAGGAGAAACTGGAGAAGAAGGGAACATTGCAAACTTCACTGACAGCTTCGTTCAAGACAGGTCGCTATCAGTTAAAATAGGGAACAATCAATCTGATGCTATGTCACTGGACAATGACACCCAACAAGGCAGCATTATAAGCCCAACCCTGTTTAACATCATGATCAATGCTCTTTTTGATCATGTCAACTCTCCTACCCAAACTTCTAAATTCGCTGATGATGGAGCAATATGGGTAAGGCACAGAGATATTTAACGAATCCGGCATAAACTCCATTCAGCCCTGGACGGAATAGATAATGGTGCAATAAATGGGACCGGATTTACCCTTTCAAGTGAAAAAAATTGTAGGAGTTCTATTCAAACGCAGGGGGAAAGATGCTATGATACCCTGTGTCTCCATAAAAGGCAAACCAATCAAATTTGAAAAGTCCACAATGTTTCTTGCGGTGATCCTTGATCAACACCTCACATGGCGCAAACATATAGAATATGTGGAAAACAGATGTAAAAAAAACCCTGAACGTATTACGGGCAATTTCAGGCACATCTTGGAGCACATCGAGGGACACTCAGCTGTGGACCTCTACAAATCAGTTATCGGATCAAATATTGACTATGGTTGTGAGTCCTTTCACTCAGTATCAAATATTGTCTTGAGCCGCCTCGACAGAATACAATACAAAGCCCTAATGCTGGCCACAGGTGCAGCCACAGGCACTTCACTAGAAACACTACAAGTAGAAACAGGAGAACTCCTATTGAAACTAAGAAGAGAGCAGGCAATATTATCGTTCTTGGGACGAACATCAAACCCTTTGGTAAAAAAGATATGGCAAGACAAAAACACCCGAGATGAAGCCCTAACTCGGAAAAATCCCTCACTAAAGCCATCTGCGATATTAGTACGAGAACTCATCCGAAGTCACAATTGTGATGACATTCAGCCACCAGAATGTCACTACAAAGATTGACACCCTCCCTGGACTTTAAAAACTCCCAAAGTTGACACTGCTTTAACATCAGAAGTCACTAAAAAAGAAAACCCAACCGTATAATGATCAGTAGGTATCACTAAAATTCAAACTAGCTGGGACGGCTGGGCCCATATATACACTGATGGATCCAAGAATCCTATCAACAACAGTGCTGGTTCTGGGATCCATATCCACAGTTCCAAACCCCAAGCACATTCGGTCCACCTGCCTGATGGCCAGTCAGTATTCACTGCAGAATTGGAGGCAATTCATCATGCATTCAAACTCATACCTGAACTACCGGAAGCAAAGGCAGTCGTCCTGTCAGACTCGCTAAATGCACTTCAAGCCATCAGCGGCAGAAACTCAAACTCCAGGCCAAACACAGTCAATAATATTCTATACGAATATACAAAACTATCGGACCAAGGGCAACAGGTGGAGCTGGGTTTGATCCCCTCTCACATAGATATTCATGGAAATGAAAAATCAGACACACAAACGAAGCTAGCTCTTGACAAAGCGGATACAACATATTCCCTTGAGCAAACTAGAGATAAAAAGCAAAATCAAAGCCTCCATAGCCCAAAAATGGCAGGCCCAGACACGGTCACAAAAAGCCCTATGACAAGGTTTGTCCATCTTGCAATCAGGCTGAATCCATTGCTCATTTCTTACTGGAATGTCAGGACTATGCCCCAGCTCGGGCTCGGTAAAAAGAAGAATAGCAGTTAGATCCGCTATCTGTCATAGATCTCCTAAAGCCAAGGGATGCAAAAACGAAGGCCAAACTGACTCTGTTTCTGAGAGATGGACAGCTACACGAACGTATATAAACAGAGCAGCCACAGATAAAAAAAACCGCCCCAAACTCATAAAACAAATACTAAAAAGCGCTAACAACTTAACAGAGGCAGGGAAACAAATAGTACTCATCTGGATCCCCGCCCACGTAGGAATATACGGCAACGAAAACGCCGACAAAGCTGCTAAACAATCCCTCAAAATCCCTGAAATAAGCTTAAAGCTACCCATATCCAAATCAGATATCAAACGTATCAACAACCGAAAAATCACCAAAAAATGGCATAACCTCTATCTAAAATCAAATAGCCAAATTAAAAAAGTTCTTAAAAAACCCTTAACCAAACCAAAAACCCTTCATCCATCCAAAAAAATCGATAGAATAATCACTAAACTTCAAACAGGACACACCAACCTAAATAGCCACCTCAAAAAAATTAACGCAACAGGAAAGTGCCCACACTGCAAACACCTAGAAACCCCAGAACACGCACTCATACACTGCATCCACTACCAAACACACCGAGCTACACTACAAACAACTCTCAATCTAAATAAGGCTCTTACTCTAGAAGCAATTCTCAACCCACAAAATAAAATAGAAAAATTTAAAGCACTAGGCGTATACTTAATTAAAACAGACCTAATTAAGCGCATCTAATATCCAACAAACTACCAAAACAAACCACATAAACCAACAATCACACCTTAATCAACTCCCTTAGTCCGCCCACCATACCCCCTTGGCATCTATTCCAAATCTAAAAAATTCCAATTTTTTCTATATAAGCAACCACTAAATTCCCCCCTGGGTTGCCAATTTTCTTTTCCCTTTTTGGAAATACACTAAATGGCCCGGCCGGGCCCGTGTGCGAAATACATACAGTGAAACATTGAACACACAGAATCGCAGATGTTTCTATCGTACATTTGAGGGTGAACGTGAACGACGCCGTGCAGGATGCCTTACAGCGATATTTCTTCAGAACACCATGATGATACTTGCATATTTCATTAAATGAATATTGAATAAATAATCAGATAATATATATGTTTTTAAATGCAACAGGTTTACAACATATTCAAAATTGTACAATCATTATTATAAAATACAGCATGTTTATATATGTGTGTAGCTACTTGTTCACGTTAGAAGGACCCCTCTCAAGTCAAATACAATGTAACTAAAATTATGGGGCTCAGCACGTCGAGCCAACAAACTATTGTATTTATTATTCACCTTGGAATTTCTGTTTATTTATAAGTCTACTGTGTTTGTGGCGGGGTCCAGACAATCTCGAAATGGACAATTCCAAATACTACTGCGAATAATATATTTTAATGCCGATTTAGAGAAAATTGCCAAATGGTTGAATGCAAGTAAAATTTAATCCAGAGAACAGAAACTATTCCATTTTGCGTTAATGTCAGCCCAAGTGCAGAACCTCATCTTATAATGAAAGGAATTGATATTATAAGGATAACGCTATTTTTCAGGGCATTATCATTTGCAGAAGCCCGAGGTTTTCCATTAACTGCCCGACGAAGGAGTGTTTGAGTGAGGTTTCAGTAACCTTTTATGCGGTTCTGGGCAGTCCTTATGATGAAAAGGGAATATGTAGCTAGGTGCGGAGTCATCCAACAGATGATATCGGTTTTCTGACTGGGTTCATATCTTTGGTCATGTGGACAAGGCGTCCGACCTCGTATCAGAAGGTCCGGAATTAGAATCCAATCGCAGGACTCGGAGATTTTTATGGCCGCCACATCAATGACACAACAGAAAGGCAACCCTTTACAAGTTATTGTGACACACTTTTTATTCATGAAAAAATCATGATAACAGAATCCAAATAAACATTCTGACAATATTAACAGTAAACACTCATGTAATCCTAATCCAGAGAAGATGACGGATAAATTGTATTTTCATCTGTTTCAGAGGCTCCATTTAAGGGCCAAATGTGGAGCTGTGAGGGTCATTTGTTTCTCCTCCTCTAAGAACCAGATATAGAGTTGTAAGGCTCGTTTGTTTACATTGAAGAGCCAGATATAGAGTTGTAAGGCTCGTTAGTTTACATTGAAGAGCCAGATATAGAGTTGTAAGGCTCGTTTGTTTACATTGAAGAGCCAGATATAGAGTTGTAAGGCTCGTTTGTTTACATTGAAGAGCCAGATATGGATCTGTAAGGCTCGTTAGTTTAGGTGTAAATGTTGCATCGTGTGACTGCACGTTCATCATCCATCCCATACAACAATTACATGTTTACTGGTGCTCTGGAACATGTTATCATAACTCTTGCAAATGCCAGGTACCCTGTGAATCATGACTCAAGATATAACATAAGGATGTCCATGTTGAACCACTCTTAGTTGAAATAATGTTAAACCATTTTCTGTTCTAAGCAATTGTTCTTGTAAAGTACATTTATAGAAGTATTACAGAATACAATAATACAAAAAGTATAAATGCATGTCACGGCCAATGACTTTTAGGAAATCCTTTGTTTTTTTTAAGTCTTTGGAAGATCAGAAGCAGTCCTTTTTCGACTATTTCAGACTTTTCAGAAGTCATACCACCAATGTGATACCATAACATCTGATGTGATGACAAGCATACCTACAACTGCCTCAAACAAATTAACACATAATTAGGAACCGAAATGCATCACTTTCAAAATAATGGTTTGGGAAGTGCAAGCCCAATGCAGTAACATTTAAAAAAAAAGTCCCATGTCTCTCGCTAGCGTCATATGAAGGTTTTATGCATTCCTTTTGCCCAATGCAGTACATCTTTCAAACAGTCACATGACTCTAGCTCTCTGAATAAGAAAGTTATATTTGAACTTCTGATCAAATGACCTTGACCCTCAATTTCAGACAATCACATGCATGATTATTTCGGTATGTGAAAATACGGGCTAGCTCTTACAAATGTGCCATACCAACACAGGGGGTTGGTTCAGTAGTCAGAGAAGCAGGGCTACCTTTTAAATACCATTCACATGACCTTGCCCTTCAACAAGGGTCACTCAAAATCTTACTTGAACTTCTGTTTAGAGTAAACACTTCTTGAATTATCAAGAACATATTATGGAGTGACCTGAAGAGGGAATTTGATCTGTATTAATAGTTGCAATTATTCCAAGAGTATTCCCAAGGGCAGTACAGCATGTAAACCAAGTATCATGTCCCTTGGTTTTAATCACTTTAACGTCTAAAACATGCACTGTATCATATATTATATACTTCAGTGTGATAGACTGAGCTTTCTGAGCTGCTATTTTTTGATACTTTTGTTTATATTTTTAAAGATTTTGTCAACACTAAACTACTTCTAAAGTCGCGAATACAAGGGGTGGTGAACGGCCCCTGTGTGTAAGGAAGGGTGAATTTACGTTTCAAGGTTTTACATTTGTAATGAAATAATGAAATAATAGACAATTACACAAAAAGTATATATAATAAATAGGATATTTGATGTGTCTCGTGAAATATCATGTCCCTATCTCGTAACATGGAAAAAGGAGATGTTTTCACTCGTGTCTCTCATACACATATACTCGACACATGAAATATCCTCTATATACTACTCACCAAAAGTAGGTCGCTGTGTTTTACCAGTGGTATCATAACTTGTCATGCAAATCACATAATCAATACCGGTACATGCACATCTGCCTGAAATGTCAAACATATGTTTTGACCAACTTTACTGTGGCCTTATACTTACGTGTGGGTCACCAAAAACTCTATGGGCCTGCCCCAAAGACTTTATGTACCAAGTTTCATTAACCAACCAAATATCCTACTCGAGTTGGGTGGAAAACAAACTACATGTGTTTTTCAGGCTTTGCGTTTGCCGTTGACCTTCACATGACCTTCACATGACCTTCACACTTCCAAGCACCTAGTGGTTTGAAAAACAAGGTGTGACTGCGGCAACGATGGTGAAGTTTGACTTTTACGTGGAGCTGTTTAAAAATGTACATATAAACAAGAATATGGGAGTTCAAAATAGAGAGTCTGTCATCGTATGTCAGGAGTACTGTTGATCGGAGTAAGAAACAAATAAACACTTACATTTGTATGCTAATTGTGTGAGTGGCGGAGGATATAGGTACAACAAGACTTACCCTTTTCCCTTACACCTACTGACTTTGATTTTGCCTGTTACACCCAATGGAATCGTTTCGACAGATAATTGAGACTGGTTATTCTCTGATGTTGATGTGGTATATTTGCTATTTAACACTGAAATAATGACAGCTAATACAGAAATCCCATATACAATCGTGATACATAAGTGAGTAGTTAACTTGGGTTTTCTCACCATGTCAAAATTCTATTAAATCCGCATTTAAGATATATTCTGTGCTTTATAGTTATCACTGCTAATGCTATGGGTATATAGGAGACCTAAAGTCCATTTGTATGTTGCCATTGTGTAAGACGTCATAGAGATGACTGTAGTACTGTCAGACCAATGCTTTGAACCCCAGAGAACCCTTGCACCCCAAACCAGAGAGTCCTTGCACCCCAAACCAGAGATCCCTTGTACCCCAGACCAGAGATCCCTTGTACCCCATACCAGAGATCCCTTGTACCCCATACCAGAGAACCCTTGTACCCCATACCAGAGATCCCTTGTACCCCATACCAGAGATCCCTTGTACCCCATACCAGAGAACCCTTGTACCCCAAACCAGAGATCCCTTGTACCCCATACCAGAGAACCCTTGTACCCCATACCAGAGATCCCTTGTACCCAAGACCAGAGATCCCTTGTACCCCAGACCAGAGAACCCTTGGCGGCCTCTGAACAGCACAATACCCACCTGTGCCTCCCAAAATGCAGGAATAATAAGTGATCCTCATCTTTTGGAAAAATAAATAGTGTGTACCATGCATATTTTTCTGTTGTTTTATATATGTAAAATACAAACATGAATTAGATGTAAGATCTGTAACATATACATTTGTAGGACACACATGGTTAAGATGATGATGGCCAATATTCTCAGGAATGAGAATAATACATTTATATGGATTCAATACTTATTTTTTTAGATTAAAACATCGTTTATAACAGTCAACACATAGCAAAGTAAAACAACAAATTGCATCATTTTTTAAAACAAAATATTCAGCAAATGCTCACGACAGCTACACATGTAAAAACATACTTTAAAGAAGAAAACTACTGATCAAAACTATCAATCATGAGTTTCCATGACTATTGGGACTGCAGTTGGAGCCTAGTGGTTAAAGTGTTCGCTCATCATGCCAAAATACAGGTTTCGATACCACACGTGGGAAAATTTGTGATGACAATTTCTGGTGTCCCCCGCCACGATATTACTGGAATATTGCTAAAAAAGGGCGTAAAATCATACTGACAAATGATTTAAACCCAAATACTTAAATCTCTAAAGCTGAACACCTATACCAATCAAACACCGTAGTCAAAATATAGGTAGGTTAGAATAAAAATACTATGTAAGAGTTTCTGTGCGTCTTGTAAATGTTAAGAACAATATATTTCTTCCTGTGGTATCCTACTGTGGTCTGCAGGTTTCAAAAAGAATATGCTTATGAAAATACAAGCCTTTATAAAGGAACCTGCTAAGCTGTTATTAATCTGTACATTCCTTAAAAGCAGCAGAGTCATTATGAAAACAACCACATCTTTCACATCAAATATAAAATGCGATTCATGTTGATGGTCTTAATACATTTTATTCAAATATACATTCATCAGGGTTTGAATGAGCACTTTGGAAAGCAGAGAGCAGGTAAGACATTAACAGTAAGACATTTTGGAATCTGCAGGGTCATCAACACGTTAGATTCTAATGGTTGGCAACAAGAACACAGACCTACAAGTTTAACAAATTCCTAAACTCTTAATATTTGTAAGTACACTTTTTATACCAACACACAGTTTTCTTAAGGAGTACAGCTCATTATTCACATGTGATGTTGAGTGAGTCTCTTCAGTATTGAAAGACTTGAAGTCGTTGTTTTCTAGTATAGTAGTGGAAGTGGTGATTACTCATACACACGCTGATGCTAAACCCGCATTACAATAGGATCCTGTAAATATCCGACAAGATAACTCATTCAACTGATGCAATTGGAATTGGACTGATGTCTATGACGGCCAGTTTGATGTTAGATAAAAACATAATAACATACTGCCCCCCACCCACCCAAACCAAAACAATTTTTTTTTTATTGAATTAGTTGCCTTTTTTGGCACACATTCTTGTGTTTTGCCCTGCTTTTTCAGAACGTTTATTGACTGAAGTTTTTATACTAGGTGTTCAAAACCATTTGCAGGATTTTAATAGATCAAATCTTCTATTCAATATTACACACTGCACCAACACTCGCTTACCACCATTGAAAACCCTACAGGAACCGTGTGAAAGACTGGACATATTTAATGCCAACACCAAACAGTATATGACTGAAAATAGGATCAGTTTATTTTAATTACTTTAAAAAACTGGTTTTTATCCAACATCAAACTTCTGAACTGGCGCCATACCGGGCACCATTGCTGACACTGTCAAATTTGTAAAGATTACAAAATTTCAGTCGATGAAGTAGCTGAGCAATTTCAAAATGCTCTGAAGAAATTCCATTGGGGGTTCTATTCATATGCATGTGCTTAAATCAACGATAGACTAACATCATGATGCTGTTCTTAGCATCGCAATTCCACTTTTAAGTCCATGTGGAAAATGTTTATAAACAGACAGCTGCAATGTTTCTGATCAAATGTCCTCATTGGATATATGAGTATGAGGCAATTAACAAAATTTGAAACTGTGTGGATCAAAATGCACTGGCGAATCTTAGATACAGCAAGTGTCTTTGATACAAAAGGTACACAAATAAGACGTATTGACAGGAGGACTTTTTTTGTTGTTGTTGACTGCAACAGAAGGGAAATTCCACTGTGACATAAGAAAGTCAGATATTGCTTTAGTTCTCCAGTCTTTTAAATATGGCTCAATGGCTATCTTTAGGCATCAGTCCATCCCGAAATAGCCCGAAATAAGTTACTATTCTACATGGGAAAATATCTGACTAAACATCTACAAGGCATTGCATATTTACAAACTAGACCAATTAATAACTAAAAAGACCATTAATAATCGAGACAATTCACACTTACAAACCATTTTCTGTAGATAAAGTAGAGGTAGAAAGTATATTTTGATAAAGTAATGTATACATGCATCTTTCTAAAAAAATGCAATAAATATTGATATATAGTTAATGGTAATTTATAATCTTTGTTCATGATGAAAATAGTTGATAATAGTGACATTACCACTTATCAATGATACAAATGTCATTATATATGTAATAATTAGAAGTTTACAATAATTAACAACATTCCTAAATAAACCTTAATGCTTCAAAGAAAACGTCGTACATGTAGTTGAATTGATATATTATTCTGGTAGTCAGGTTACTTCCCGATTGACATGAACCAGTTGCCATAATATAATTCAGGATTTGACTCGACCTTTGCTTTTGTACATTGCATGTTATATTATAATTGTCTATTTGTATGGCGCTTTTAGACATCATGTTCAAAGTGCACATGGAATCATTACTTAATCAATGGATCAGTAAGCACTTCATTTTCAATCTCATCTCCCTCAAACAAAGTCACTTGCCAAAGATGACGTGTAACATGTGCTTCAATTTGGGACGGACCCAAGCCCTAGAAACTCTCAGGAGACAAACTGCAGAAATCGGTCAGCCATCCAAGGACTCTCAGCAACCACCTTGCTTAACTAATATAAGTATCTGATGATAGAACAGGTTATAACTGCTCCCAATCATCACAACAATCAGTGGATATAAATATATATACACACTAAGAAATAATCTAAGAGACAGGAAGAAAAATGAACTCATTCCAAATACACGTAGAGTTTACTAATAGTATTACTATCAAATGAAAACCTACATATCAACATATCTACATTAGGGGACCAGCCCTATGAAAACATTCCATCTTTTGATGATGGAATGATAATGTATGCAACATTCAGAGATCAATGTGATCCATAGCTAACTTCATGGAGACATATGTTGAGGTGTGTACGAGAGGAGTGTTGGCTGAGAGAGTTGCCTGTAGCCCACGCCCACGCAATGTGACCCACGCAGAGACATATTACTTGCCGTGGGGTAGCCTAGTGGCTAAAGTGTTCACTCAACATGCCAGAGGCCAAGGTTCGATTCCCCACGAGTACAATGTATGAAGCCCATTTCTGGTGTCCCCAGCCCATAATTGCTGGAATATTTCTAAAAGAGGTGTAAAACTATACTCACTCACTCACATATTTCCTACATTTGATATGCTTGTCATTTGTAGCTAACCTCATATCCACTGAGTATCAAGGATTAGAATAGGTTTATATGGAGCAGTAATTTAGTTAAATCAAGTAGACAGTGTAACCTGCTTAATCTGGACACCATCACTTCCTGCTTGTTCCTCCAACTAAGTCTTTTGGCGACTGATCTGTTTCTTTATGCATATGAATCTGAATTTCAGCTCGGATTGGCAAAATCAAAACAAGGTAATTTGGCCAAGAAGTTTAACTTAAGCATCAGAAATAGATGATCTGATATCTGTTAAGTAAAACAAATAGCCAAATCCCGTTCACTGATTTACCCACCTGAACTAGAAATAAAGGAGACCAGTGAGATCATTTCATTTGTCTCATAGTTAGATCTATCCATAAAGATTCATAGTGGCAAAACACTCTCCACAAGACTGTATGACAAGAGGGATGACTTCAACTTTCCAATAGTCATCTTTCCCTTTATGTCGAGCAATATTTCTGTAGCTCCAGCCCTTGGTGTCTACATTTCACAACTTTCGAGGAAGGATCAAGAATGCTCTTTCTACCAAGATTTCATTTTGGAACAACATTCCCATCGACATCGAGAGTGCCAAACACATCCATAAACGAAAGGGACTGTTAAAAACACATTTGTTCCAATGCCCATATAGCTCGCAAAGAAACTCTGTTCACTACCAGATGAAAGAGCACAGATGAAAGAGCCTAGAGCAGGTTCAATCTTGATATTGGCTTACATAAATTTATCTATATTATTATCACTGGGCATCTGGATTAACAGGTTCCCATACAATGGAGTCAAGAAGATATATTTTCCACCCATTACTATCCAGAAGTCGGCATTGCAGACCAACACTGTTGGGACTAGCAGTGTCCAGAACACCAGTGTCATCACTAACTGGATCGGGGCGGTCGGGTAGCCTAGTGGTTAAAGCGTTCGCTTGTCACGCCGAAGACCCAGGTTCGATTCCCGACATGGGTACATTGTGTGAAGCCCATTTCTGGTGTCCCCCGCCGTGACATTGCTGGAATATTGCTAAAAGCGGTGTAAAACCATACTCACTCACTCACTCACTCGATCCAGAAATTAACAGTGGCAGCACTAGTAGGGACAGATTTACAGTGTCCAGGCCAGAAAGGTCTCACTGGACAAGAGAAACCTCTGCTACTGTCTTGTTTTCATGACTGGTACACTATACCGTATATGACCGCGGATAAGCCGACTCCGTAGATAAGGCGAGGTGTTAACTTGACCATTGAAATACGAAGAACACTTCATTAAAGAGACATAGATCGTTGATTCTAATTCTGGAATGATAGTGAACTTTCCAACATGGTTTGCATGGAAACCATTTTAGATTTTTTTTAAACAATCTGCAAACATGTATGTTGTCAATCCATGTAAAGCCCCATTATGTTCGGTGATCATGTATGTGCAGATTCAATCTTAACCGGAAAAACATATTGAACCAATGAAGCATCATAACAAACACAATGATAGGCACACAGACACTGTGCCACCAAGGAAACATGAAAGTTACAAATAAATTCAGTTTGGTAACATGTTCAAATCCATTGTGTGCCTTCAATTTGGCGTTTGGTAAGAAATGAAGCAAGTCCTTTATTCTTAACAACTACTCAAAGGTAACAGATCATGTCATGAATAGAATATAGCCATATTAAAATTACCTGTTTTCATTTACTTTAACTGAAGGTGGAACAAAAAATAATTAAGGGCCACATTATTTCCAACAAATAGTCAGTCTCTAGATGAACTTTATTTCCATTCTTGGTCTTACCCATTTCAACATTATCAGTAGAATAGTACATGATAGTAGCTGGTTGAGTTCTCCTGTTACTACAAGAAGCTACAATGAAAATGATGAATCAGCCAATAGTTGATACATCCACAAGGCATAAATGATGGCAAAATATCTAAACAGTCGTTCTTTTCCTGCACAGAGAAACACGGAGCGTATCCTCAACAATGGTTGTATTTGGATGGGGAGGTTTCGCACTGTATATGAAAATCCAGGGTGTTCTCATTTATTTCTGTGCTAACATATCCTTCATTCACTGATGACTTTACATCAAAATTCTGTGATATATTGTCATCATCCGGTGAGGAAAACACAGCATCAATGTCGGAACTGAATGTGGAATTTGATCCAGACTTTAATCCTTGAGGTTCTGACAGGTTGGTAACAGGAATTGTTTCAGACACATTATCCTTTGAATCTCTACTTTCACCAAGTAAAGGATCTGTTTCCAGGGGAGTTGTGTCCTCTTTTCCATTGAGACTCTCCTCCTTTTCATAGTATTCCTCTCCCTGTTCATCAGAATCATCGTCATTGTCCAAATAATTATTTCCCTTCTCACAAGAGTTATCTCCCTTACAACCAATCACTAAGCCACTCTGTACAGGTGGGTTTTGACTGGGCACCATGTCCTCAGATGTTGCAAATGGTGTCATAACATTTTTGGTGCAGTTTTTTAATCTTGGAGGGGGGTCATTTAAAGACAGACAACGATAAGTGACACGTTTCTTAATTCTTTGGCTTAAATCTGAAAGATTTCGCTGCATAGGTTTCACAGGATTATGACTAAGACTTGTAGGCGTGGCAGGTTCACTTGTGAATTGTTTCTCCACCAATATCGGTCTAGGCTTTGTTTGATTGGCAGGTGTTGGCTGGGTCTGACTGGACATCTGTGTTTGTAAATACTGTAAAAGAATTCGGCGATCCTCTTTGTACATATCCACAAGAAGGTCCAGTTTGGCTTCTATATCCTCAGTCTGAAATACCAAAGTGACTGTTTACACAAAACTACATATTAATCAGGGCATTCCAGGCTTGATAATGATAGCTGCTAATGTGGAAGGTTTGTGAAAAGTGTATTGGCCAGAGACTTTTCTCCTTTAGGAATAAATGTCACACTTGTTATATGAGTGAGTGAGTGAGTGAGTGAGTGAGTGAGTGAGTAAGTGAGTGAGAACTTCTCTTTACCTTCCACAAGATCCTCACACACATCAGTTGGTAATGTATTGTAAGTCTAATGAGCAATAACACATCTTTGAAAATATGTCACAGGGTTTTATGCGACACACAAATGTGCTCCAGTAAGCACAAATGTAGAGAATGGACTCATATACCGTGCCCTGAGGGACACACAATAATATTCATTATCATACCTCCATGTCAGAATGATCATATCTGATTGGTCCATGTGATTTTGATAAATTACTGTGTAACCCGCCTTGGAGGGTAATAAATTTCTCAGCGGGGAAATAAATCTTTTATACCCCACCAGGAGCACTACAGGCTGCACGTGGATTTCTGAGAGACAGAATAAATCCTGATACCCCGCTTCAAAGCAAAAAGCTGCTTGCTTTTTCCAAGCCAATGGATATCACGTGACATACAGCTAATCTCATCTCAATGGAACAGCTGTTTTCTATCAATTTGGAATTTATGTGAATTATTTATGTTATATTAAAACATATCGGTAAGATAAATTTGTTGTAGCAGTATCACTCGGGTATATGTGGTTTTATGCGTCCCTTGTTAGGAATTATACCACGAGCCCAATGTACCCCGAGGGATTCTGCTGCAACTTATATTGTACATCAAGAGCAGTTATGGGTGTCTGTTATTTCATCCATCATTCATATATGACCACTGTCCACTTGAATTGATGATTCATTCCAGACTCTAAAGTCATTATCCAAACATACAGTTCACTACTCCATTTCATTACTATACAGGACCCTCATATTGTCTGCAAGGACCCTTCAAATTGATTATTAGGGGTCTCCTGGGCTCCCACTTTTGTAAGTTAAGGTAAATCCCTGTGTCACATGTCATTATTCCCTAAATTAGCGTCAACTAGCATCAGCTATACAACACAATAGTTGTCTGTAAACATGCATATAAGCATATTTCTAACATGTGCTCAGGCAGATCCTCTGTGTGTGCATGTGTGTCTGTATGTGTGTGTGCATGTGTATCTGTTTGCGTACGCACGTGTGTGCGTTCGTGCATGCGTATGCGTGTATGCGACCATGTTTAGATACCTTACATGTCATCCTGTCTTAGCCCCCACCCCCCCTGTCATATATGTGTGTAGGGTAGTGTGCACCTCCTTTTTTAAAGTGTTTAATTCACCTCTATAGGTGCAGACACTCACCTCTGTCAATAACTTCTGCTGACTTAACTGCTAATCAACATATTTTCAAACCAAAAAATGACATTGTGACTTTAATAAGACTTCAACAGGACTTACTGATCTTTCAACTTTTACCACTCGAGAAGCAAGGCTCTGTTTGGAATCATACACATCCTTGTTTTTACTGCCTACTTTGCCCAAAATCTGGTCAAGTCTGAAAGTAGAGGTCAAGTCTAAAAAAAAATACAGGTCAAGTCTGAAAATAGAGGTCAAGTGATAACTTTGTTTGCTTGCTTGTTTGCTTGTTGTTTAACACCTGTGGAAGGAAAGCCTGAAGTGATGCAGGTCTCTGACGTTTACCACTTCGGTGAAACCCACGAGCATGGGTATGGTACTGACAGACCTAGAAACATAATCAGGGCAAACCGGGATTTGAACCCACAATCATTGGTTTCTGGCTTGTCCAATGGACGCAACTCTGCACAGCAAATCGCGGCACCTTAGACGACTGGGCCACCCGTGCCCCCAAAAATAAACAGTTTTTTTAAATAAAAATAACTGGCAAACATAACAACCCCTCGGCTGTCGATATAATACACATGATAATCGAGCATGTGACTTTTTGGATGATGTGATAAGCTTTTTCATCAGGACTAAAAATCTACATAATAGGACAGTCAGGCTGTCCGTTTTTTATGTTGGTTTCCAACTTTTCCACAAAACAATTCAGTTTGGTCGGAACAAAAATAATAATTCTGATATGTCAAGGCAAGGTCCCTGAATGTGTGATGGCTGCCTCTCACTGTTAACACTGAATTGTCAGGCAAATCATTGCAGAAGCTATACCTCTTGATAGCAAAGTAGTCTGATTACTATAAGGTAGGGCTTGAACGAGTCCAACTTTACTACCCGGGTACCCACATCCCTATTACCCGACCCTACACGGGTACCCACTGTTGGTGTCAAGAGATGGGTACAAAATGTCAGATTGGGAATAGTTTGACAGTAGCCCTGGCAGAATGTTTTTAGATACATGTATGAAACAATGTGGTCATGCATACACTGAAGTTGACTGAAGTTTTAGCTTTGTTCAAACAGATATAAGTCAGAAGAAACTTAAAATTGTTGTGTAACCATGTAGTTACAATTATTGTGACTTTTTTGTCATGAAACAATATATCACGTGACTAACCATGGGTCCAGGTACTCCTGTGGGTACCCGGGTCCTATACTCAGTACCCACCCGACCCAGGTACCCGAGCTACCTGTACCAGCCCTACTATAAGGGTAACACTATTTTTCAGGGCATTATCATTTGTAGAAGCCCGAGGTCTTCGATTAACCGAGGGCTTCTGCAAATGATAATGCCCTGAAAAATAGCGTTACCGTTATTATAGCTAAAATGGATGGAATTTGTTATTAAATAAAAAGAAACAACAATATCGGTTCTGAAACATTATATATCAAGTTACAGTGGCCCACTCCTTTTTGATAACATGCGGGCAGTTTGATGATAATTCTATCCATTTTAGATATAATGTGTTGTGTAATTCTAGAAATGTATTTTTTTATTCTAATATGAATGTTTTTAGGGTCGTCAGTGATAAAATTATTTTTAAAAAATGATTTGGGTCCGTTATCCTAAAAACGTTCAGTAAAAGGCCTAAAGGTATCAAAATATAGTTGTTTCAACAATCATAATACTAATAACAGTAAAAGTGCCTTGATATTCAGCCCAAGTTTTCATGTAGGTTTGTTAATAAGGCCAGACTTCTGTTTGGGGGGGTTAGTTACAGATTTTGAGAATAAAAAAAATGTTTGGCAGGTCAAGGAAATTAAAAAATTAAAAAAGAAATTATACAGGATTTTTAAATCCTTAAGTTTGAGTTAGACCAGCAGATGATATAAAAACAATAAAACGTCTTGGCCTGGTTTGGGTCCTCCTAAATATTACAAATCTAGAATCTGACTTGTTACCGTATTCGACCCAATAAGCGCCCCCCCCCATTTCTATTCTCAAAGCAGTCAATTTTTAAGGAAGGCGAATCCGTAAAGAAATAAGAAAGAAACATAATTTAAGGCCTAATGTGGGTTATGCCTCACAAAATATATATTTCTCAGCTCAAGTTTTGGTTCTCAACAAGAAGATGAAGCTTCTCCATCACCGCTTCATGTTCTTCATCCCACACACCTTGCTTGCAGGTTCTTGATTCTGCCAAGCATATCAATATGGCCAGCGGAGTACTGTTCAATGACATCCTTCACATCATAAGGCCTCAGAGCCTCTCGGAACTTCCGGCGAGCAACGTAATATTTCATCTTGCGTATGGACCGAATTGCTCTTTTGTGTACGTCTGTCAGCTGCTGGACCCTTGGGGACAAGTCTGGTTCGTCTAAAATATGAGGTGAATAACAAGAGTTAAATCTGAATGAACACATAATGTGATGATCGCTATTAATAAACTACGCCAAAATCAAACAATAAATCTTTCATACACTGTTTTCATTACATAGTAATGTAACCAGATTTGTAAAAAATGTCACATCCATCTAAGCTAATCCACCCACCCGTACACACCCACTCATCCACTCACCATCTATCCATCTAATCATCCATCTTCCACTCACCCATTCCAACTCACACACCCATCCATCCATCATCCACCCACCCACTCACCCATCTAGTCATCACCAACTCACCATCCACCCAGCACTCACCATCCAGCCATCACCCACTGACCTTTCACCCACCCACTCACCATCCATCCATCACCCACTCACCATGCACCCACCCACTCACCGATCCATCCACTCACCATCCATCCATCATCCATTCACCATCCATCCACTCACCAGCCCATCATCCACTCACCACCCACCCACCCACTCACCCTCAGAATCTTTACATATGGATGATATTGAGTTTTCCTTCTTGACGGGCAGATGGTCCAGTGTGCGCTGCTCCGCTATGCCAGTGGCTAAGCTCAGGTGACTCCTACAGAAAAGAAAAGTAAGATCAACATTTGTATCCTATTAATTAAATCAACATGTGCTTATATATATGTTAATTTTAAGGTGCAAACATGGTGATGTGATGTGACATGTGCATCATGTAAGATGCTGTGACTCCGCCCATATATTAAAGAACATTGATGCAGAGAACATATGTTAAAAGTTCATTTCTTAAAGTAAAAACCAACATAAAGAACTGTCTTCTGATAGACTGCTGAAAGAGTTTAGAACTGTTAGTTTAGAACTGTTGAATAGAACAATCCTGTTATCAATATTCATATATTATTTTTGAGATACAAAAATCAATCTTTAAGCGTTCAAAGTTAATTATTGTATCTTGATATTTCACACAAGCTTCTGGCTCAGAAATGAATTGTATCTGACTGCTTTCAGAATTCAGTGGGAAACTGATCTTTCAGGTCTAAGTCTGATTGAATGTGGATGTGCAGAGTCACAGCATTTCCTGTGTCAAGCTGTGACCAGCCCAAAAGACATGAAGCGTAGTGCAGTGTACACAAAATGCCGGATTATATTTGTCTTTTGTAAAAGTAACAAACTTTGGTTTCAATGATACTAAAGAAATACATTGAATTTTTTATTTATTGATCAAAAATATGTTGCAGAACAACTTAAAACCATTAATAATAAAATTAAGATTTTTCATTGACAACCCAGTGTTAATTAGGTAGTGTTGGACTTTAAAAGGAGAATATGAACTGACAGTCTTAGGAACTATGGAACATCTACACCGGCCAACAGAAACTGATGCAGGTCGCAGACTTCATCACTTGAGTTAATCCATAATCGGCGTATATACCAGGAAACATAGGGTAATCAGTGTTTAGAACCCAGGATCATCAGATTCTGGCATGACCAAGGGAAGCAACTCCTGAACCACACTGCACTTTCATTAATTTACCTACTAGGTCACTATATATGATTTAGGGTCAATTTTGAAGCCGTGTACAGGGGGCTTGCCTTATAAGTAGGGTCACATTATAGACAGGGATATATGGTACCTTAGTCTGTCATACAGACCCGGAAACAAATATATCTTATACAGCCCATGCAAGTCTAAAAGGTTTGGCAAGTCTAGATTACTGCAGTATCTGAAAATGAAGAAAGTCTCTGGGCTCCTTTTCATAATATTTTATAACTATAATTTAAGAACTATTTTTTTCTGTAAAATATTTCAGAGGCTAGATGTTAGTCCTACTTGGTAGCCGTGTTTGAAACACTAAAACAAAGATGATGAAAATCAATGTTCCAAGATTGTCTCAGAACCAACTGTCCAAATCACCTAACTTAGGAGGCCATCTGTCAGGTAGTATCAATTCTTAAGCCTAGTTAAAACAACTATTGGTCATATCAAAATCATACAAAGTGCTTTAGTATTCTTTTCTTTGACCATCACAAACTTCCTTCATCTCTCAAACATCGTTCCTATCTATACTGGGTTGTCAAGTAATACGTTAAATTTTGCGGCTTCTTGTGATTGAAAAGAACAGATCTGATGAAACTAATTCACATTACCATGTACAAGATTTACTTTTCTCTACTACCATGTTGACAAACACTATCAAAAAAGTTCATTTTGGATAAAGAAATTTTGTACGATTGATGATTTTGTTGCAATGGGTTCAGTAATGATCGCATTACCTTCAGTTTGTGATAGGACTACTATCCTTTGTAAAACTAGACAATGTCCCTTTACAAAAAGGAGACAATATAATGTTCTAAACACTGAGACTTCGCTACATCTAAATCAATCTATGATTAAGCTATTCTCTATTAGACTGACTGGCTAAAAGAGTTTTCTTCTATAGGGAAACTGCCTAATAGTATTCCACTAAACAACCAAACAAGAAAAGTATCTGTGCACCATGTACAATCCTTTTTGTCTTATGAAAAACATTTGATTCTCATCTTAACATTTCTTCATACTGTATCTTTCTTGTTAGTGGTGCCCATCAGCTCTCAGGGTTACCTCCCTTTGACCAGGGACCAAGTTATCAAATGGAAGCATTTGCAAGAGCTTTTACTATGCAGGAAACACTTATTCAGAAAAATAATGCACCAGTAAGAGAGATTTAAGCTATACAGATTTAGAAGGGATGTAAGCTTTGAGAAATCAAAAAGTCTTGAAGTGAAAGAAAAATACCTGGTAGTGTATAGAAGACTGTAAGAGAGAGAGAAGAGAGTGCAACGCTGTTATCATAATAAGGATATACATTTCATACATTTTATAAAAAAATGTTGATTTTTTTTTCATGAAAATTGTTATCTCAAGTTGCAAAAAAAGGGACAACTTGAATTTTTTCTCTTCAGATTTACTTAATATCCTCAATTGTCATACTAGAATTCATCCTAACAGCTGCATCACTGAATCGTAGAGTGACAATTGGGGATTAATCTATTGTCCTTGTAAAGATTCAGTTATTCAAACATAGATGAAATTAGCAAACATTAACACACAATGTTTCATCTGATATGATAGGGAGTATTATAAATAATGAATCAATTCATAATTTGATGTAATAAACGTTCGTACTGAGATATGGAATTAGCATTATGATTCTGCTTCTCTCCTTAGACATTGACACTTCACATTTTACAAAGCATGATTACCTGAAGTATCATTAATTTTCTCAACTGATTATAACTGCAAAAAATATAAATCTGGCATCGGGTTTGTGTATTGGCCATTTTACATTTGGAAACTACAGAAAAACCAAACACAAAAGGTACAAGTTGCTTTTGCATTGTAAATCATAAATTATGAATTTATGTAATAATAATATTATTCCATCTTGTTTGTTTCAAAGGAAACTAAATCGACTTCTGAAACTATTTGCATATAACATAATTGTAATTCATTCATAAAACTGGTTAAAATTCTAAGGTAAAAGAAATTTGAGAGCTCATGAAATGTTAGTGTGCATGTTCTAGTTCCAAATGAAAATGACCAACATTTGATGTATTGTTAGAGAGACAGATGGACATCTATGCCATGCATGGGAACAGACAGAGAGGGAGAGTCACTACGGACTGACTGGTGACCCAACTTACCATGTGCGATTTACAAGACTAGCGGAAAGACGAAAACACATATTAGCTGAAGCATATCCCAATATCTCACATGAACATTTGCATTTACACAGACAGTACCACAGATCAACAACGTTCCATACGAACAGAGCAAGAGTGTGTGTTTGTTGTTTAGCACTGCACTCAGCAATATTCTTGATGTATGATAGCGGCTTGTGAAAAATATAAATTGGATCTGGACCAGACAATCCAGTATTATCAGAACGATCCATGCCGATGGTGTACACGCCATCAACCAAGTCCGCAAGCCTGATCCAATTAGTCACCTCTCATGAGAAGCATCGGTTCCTGTTTCTCATGACCTGCCCTTTCCCCCCAACTAACATTAAAAATATATATATTAAGCACTGTCAAGAAATGATTTCTCAATTAAATTTTGTTTCTTTACCAGACATGGACTTTTTTAACACAATCTTCATAATCTGTCTGATATGTTGGCATCCTTAAACCCCTCAGCCCTTCTCTTCATAAATCAAGTCAAAGGGGTGTTGCCACAAGAAGTCATGCGGTCGCTAGAATCAAGATTACTTAAATCATGATAGACTATGAGAACAAAAATATTTTTGAACTGGACTTAATTTCAAAACATTGCAATAAGTGTCCATTATGATATATCAATACGATCTTGGTGAAGTGTTTGCTTTAAATTGTTATAAAATGAACAGTTAACAATGTTTAAAACTTAGTGTTCAGGAATACAAACACGGTCCAAGAATGGACTACAAGAACATCACATACAAAACAAAACAAAACAAAACAAAACAGCAATACTAAATGAATATACACATCCTGGTAAATCAGTTTTAAACAAATGTAAATTAAAATTGTCAAACATATTTTCTTTGAATGTCAGGAATTTGAGATACACCTGTCTGACAGACCTGGCATTATATGCATAATAATCACAATACATTCCTTGTTTTAACATCACTACTCATCACCACCTCATACACACAAGGGCAAGTTTCTCAGACTCACTATAAAACCATTTTCCTTGAGGCAAGGGAGTTAACTGACTATAAAAGTCTGGTTTCCATTCTTGCTGAACTAGGCTGCAATAATGGAGTTATATTATGACTGGACTACCGAGTCTATGTTAACTGCTGTGCAGATTTCGGTTGATTGCAGGATTTGCAAAGCATGTGTACCGTCAACTGGGCGTCAGCAGCTATTTTCCAAATCTTTTCATGTTTTTAATCAAGGCGCTCATGTGATTTGATGCACTTCGTGAAAGTAAGACTCGTTTTATTACAATATAGATCTTGATTATCGATCAGATTGTCTCCACTGGGCTAATGCAAGTGATATGAGAGGTGGAATATGATTGGTCAGTAGGACTCGGATTACGTTTGATCAATTCCAGAATTGCCAAGTTCAGCAAGGGTGGAGACTGGACATTTACAGTCAGTTAACTCCTTTGCCTCAGGAACATGCTATAAACCATGCGCATCTGTCGTTTTTACTGCCATTTGAAAAATTAATATATTTTGCAAAATATATGATGCAGGCTCACTTATCCATGGCTGAAAAGTGACATTGTATAACAAAGTGTGCTAGAAATTCAGCAGGCTAACGGTTAAAGTGATGAAGTCATTGTGTGCCCGGTGGTGTTTGTTTGTATTCATGCTGGCAAACAAAAACATGTGTTCCTCCCTCATCACTTGTATTTTCAATAATTAAAAAAAGAAAGAAAATAAGACACCTCCCTCCCTCTTCACTTGAGAAAATGTGCCTGAGAAACATTAATTTAGTGCTAGTGCTATTTACTGGAAGAGCTGTTGCTGTTATTTTGATGTTTAAAGACAGAAGGTTGCTGGCTTGACAGAAAGAAGATGACAGAGCATGTGAAATAACAGACTAAACTAAAAAAGTCAGTGTGTTACACAGCTGTCGCAATGTGAGTGAGTGAGTGAGTGAGTGAGTGAGTGGGGTTAATGTCATGTTGAACAGTATTTCTTTATCATAGTGTGTCAGCTTATGTTGTAGGAACATCCTAAGAGATGTAGGTCTTAGATGTTTATGATTATGGGTAAACCAACAGGTATGGGTACAGTAGTGTCAGAACCATAATCAGAGCAAATCTGGGATTCAAACTCACGGACAGCAGATCCTGACACAGCTAAAGGAAGTAATTCTGCCACGGGTATTTCAGCACCAGTGCCCAGATTACATGATAACTGAACTTGAAGGGGATCAGTTCAAGACATGAATCATGGATCAGTTCAATATACATACAACTTGTACTTAGTTTTTCTTTTCTTTCTTTAATTATCAACAAAGAAAAAAACAAAAAACAACAACCACCCATTTATCCACTACATTTATGACAACTTTTCTTTATTATTTGTATCAAGCTGTTGTGAAATTGTATCATTTAACTGTTTATTATCAATTCATTTGATATTTTGGTGACCTTAGACTTTCCGGAGTACTGGCTAAATTGAGTCAGTAAGAGTACTGTTTTACACCACTTTTAACAATATTCCAGCAATTTCATGGTGGGGAACACCCAACATGTCTAAGCTACATACTAGGGCTGGGACGCGTCCAAATTTACTACCTGGGTACCCACATCCCTATTACCCGACCCTACACGGGTATCCGCTGTTGGTGTCAAGAGATGGGTACAAAATGTCAGATTGGGAATACATGTAGTTTGACAGAATGTATTTAGATACACATAGAAAACGATGTGGTCATGCATACACTGAAGTTGACTGAAGTTTTAGCTTTGTTCAAACATATATAAATCAGAAGGAACGTGTTCATAGTCATGAAGAAATGCGAACATTAGAGACTTAAAATTGTCGTGTAACCATGTAGTTATATATAGAGTGAATCTATGTCATGAAACAATATATCACAATAACCACGGGTCCGGGTAGTCCTGTGGGTACCCGGGTCCTACTCAGTACCCACCCGACCCGAGTAACCCATCCCAGCCCTACTACATACATTTTTCCCATGGGGGAATTAGAACCCAGGTTTTTGGCATGATGTGCATTATATATATTAAACGCTTTAACCACTTGGCAACTCCACCGGCCCTGGCCAAATTGAAGCATAAATAGTATGACCTGACTTATGTATCCTAATACAAGTGTCCATTTACACAACACTACAACTTTAGGATTAACCCCCAGTTATGTGTCCATAAACATGCTTGTGCAATTTACATATTAGCTGAGACCTGATCACAACCTCATCAGAATTCCCGGTCAGAATACGTCCCCAGTACCTCATGCTTGTTGTAAGAGCTGACTAATAAGGGATTTGGTGTTCAGACTGTGTGACGTAGCTATATGTAGGTCATTCTACCGTGAATTTGGAATTTACTCGATTCTGATTGGTCAATCGGAGGCTATTAAATCACAATAAACCCCCTCTGATTTAAACAGCTGGTTTGACAGCCGCATCACTGCGGAAGCTAATATTCATAGAATAGTACTATTTTCAGTCATTGTCAGTAGGCATATTTAAATAATTATATCTACAGTTACAGGTTACAAAATGCACAGATGCGGTTACTATAATATTCAAAGGATGTGTGGCAATACATTTCGTGCAGAAAAACACGACAGAAATCAACAAAGGGAATATATTTACATTTTGGAGACAACAGTGAGCTTGGAATTTTGGCGCTTTTCTATATACGACTGTGATGTCATATCTTTTGCGTCACAATGAGCGATATGACGTCATAATGGTGACGTGCGATGTGGTGCGAAAGCCTTGCAAAGCTTGCTTTGTTTTCTTTAGGGATGCCCACCTCATGTTAGCTTACCAAGTTGCCGAACTTTCAATGCCTTGTCATATGTCCGAGTGAAGTATTACGGTGTAAACAAACTGCTTGAGTATATACAGCACCATATTTTGTTCGGCGATTCCGTAATTCAGATCGTTAACCCACTCAAAACACTGAACTTAACCCGTGCCGCTTCACTCAGTATATTTACTAACACCAAAGAATTCGCATTTTATTTAGTCATGGTAGAATGGAGATAAACATACTGTGTTTTCAAAGTAGAGCTAGGTTACCTGTAGATTTAACCGCGCTAAGTTTAACATCTGAAACCTCACGCTGCGTGTTCGGTTCCAAATTCAATTTAGCGGGGTTAAATCTACAGGTAACCTAGCTCTACATTGAAAACACAGTATGTTTATCTCCTAATTGTACCCCTTGTGGGATGTCCATCCCGCCATCAGCTGCTATTTTCCCCCACTCTGCTTGATTACTTACATGTTGCTGTTACCTAGCTGGAATATTGCCGACTTTGGCGTGAAACAATAAACAAGCAACTTGGGCTTGGACGGGTAACTCGGGTACCAGGGTCGGGTGGGTACTGAGTAGGACCCAGGTACACACATGACTACCCGGACCCTTGGTTAGTCACATGATATTTTGTATAATGACAAATATTATCTAGAACTCTATTAGTCACGTAATATATTGTTTTATGACAAAAAGTATCTAGAACTCTATAGTTACACTACAAGTCACTAAAGTATGTTTGAAAAAATGTTGGAGGTGTGGTGAGGTGAAATTGGGTTTAACGTCGCGTCCAAGGTGATTGCACTTCTATAGTGATGGCATCGTGTGATGCCGATTTTATAGTGCTAGTTCACTGAGATACCATGCTACAGTTTAACATGAATACCCCACTCAGACACAGTACACTGACTCTGAGCCGACCAGTCCTTGTTTTAGCCCCTTAATCCAGAAGTGCCAGACAGGGTAACAACAAGTGCCATCTTTTAATATCTTTTGGTATGACGCGGTCAGGGATCGAACCCCGGGCCTTCCACTCTCCAGGCAGACGCTCTACCACTAGACCACGAAGGGGTCGAAAAATGTAGGAATACCGGCAATAGAAATGTCCGTCAACATTCATCTTGTCACTAGATTTAGAAACTATCTGACATGGAGACAATATTCTACAGATAAAGTGGACAAATCAGACATGGACCTTTGATGACCTTGGAAAAGGTCATGTGATCAAGTTTTTTTTTGTAGAAGACAGTTGTGGGTCAGGATGGAACATTTAGTGATGTGTTCCTAAACAACTGTTCATAGACATGTTGTTCTCGTGAATAATGTTTGTTCGTTGTGTAACGCCACACTCAGCAATAATCCAGCTATATGACAGCGGTCTGTAAATAATCGAGTCTGGACCAAACAAACCAATGGTTGATATCATGAGCATCTATCCATGCAACTGGGAAACGATGACATGCATCAACCAAGTCAGCAAGCCTGACCACCTGATCCAGTTAGCCGTCTCTTACGACAAGCATAGTCACCTTTTATGGCAAGCATGGGTTGCTGAAGACCTATTCAACCCAGGATCTTCACGGGTCCTTGTGAATTATGACCACACATAGCACATAGCACCCCACAAATAACAGTAAGCATGTCATTTTCTTAGTCTGTCATGCAGACCCTGAAACAAATATATCCAATGCAGCCCATGCAAGTCAATAATAGTTGGCAAGTCTAGATTACTGCAGTTTGAAAAAAATATCTAGACTCCTTTATATAAATTTGCATTAAGAACTTTTTTTTCTGTAAAATATTGTCATTTCAGAGATTAGATGTTAGTCTACGAAGTTGTGGTAGTGATAGTATTATAAGTAACGTATGGTGTAGTCAGAATGTCATGTTCCTATAAATGTAGCTAAATATGTGAAAAAAGACCTGAGCATACGATTATTAAAATTGCCATTGTTGTCAAGTCAATATTTGTCACAAATGTGCTTGTTAGTGTGATAATTACTTATGTCCTTTATAAGTGTGTGTGCTATGGCCTCCAAAACAGAAATACAGATTATATTTTAAAAAATAAAGCTAAGCTTTATTGGTAGCAACTGAAACTCAGATATTTGAGTGATCTTGTCTCCACTCAATCCATGCACCTCATGTCAAACTGAGGCAATTATTTCCCGCCAGAGCACCTGTGTCGTCTTCAGGCATGTCTAGTTTGGCTGAAGAAATCAGATAGTTTAGCCCCAATTGCAAGAGTGCTTTAGGCTAAATGCTAACATAGTTTGAGACCAAAATAGGACACCATACAAAATACACAATTAGCCCTGAATTGCATGTATTCTCATTCTCCGAGGTGATTTGTTCTGACTTATGTCATTCTTATCACAGCCATAACCTTTAGTCCCTGCATTAATAGTCATTTTTATTTGAAATATTCATTAAATGACTATTGTGAGAAAATATTACTGTGATAAAATGCAATGATTCTTTGAATGGGACTAATAGCAATTGTAGCGGTCATATACTGCCTGCAGTGTATGAATGTGTTTTGCTGTTTAGAGATTTTATGACACTTTAATTTTGTTTCTCACAAAGGGAGGTCACTCCAATTGTTAGTGACCTAAGAGCGACATGGATGAGAATTTAATGTAGATGGCCTTGCTATGAAGAATGTAGAGTTGTCTGGTCATATCAAATGGTGTGCATGTTCGTGTAACATTAAGAATTACTCAATAAACTTCGTTAATATGTAAATAAGCTGTAATATCTATATTTTTATGTTCAACTTGTATTTGCATGCCGTGTCATGCTGTCGGCCATTAAATCAGTGGAGTAATTTTGTAAATTTCATTTTGTTTCAGCCAATCTTCATCTCACTTATCCCCACCTACAGAATTAAGAATATAAGAAAGAGAAAAGCATTGACATGTATTGACTTTCATAGAAGCAATATTCCTGGGACTGCAAAATGACCCACTTGTCTCGCAATACAAATCATGTGACATGCTACAATAAGATATCAATACCAAACACATCAGCAAGAACACAACACTGCTACACCGAGAACATTTCTTTACAAGAACACTTGCAATTCACACTTTAAAGACAGATAGCAAAGATCTCATCTCCAATTTATTATTGATCAATAATTACCTGGAACATTATCTTTATTGAAAAGGTACTGATTGTTACAGACATACTTGTTACAGAGACACCCTTGTTAGAGAGACACTCTTGTTACAGATTCAACGTTGTTACAGAAATCATTGTTACAGAGACACCCTTGTTACATAGACACCCTTGTTACATTGAGATATCCTTCTTATAGAGACACCCATGTTAGAGAGACACCCTTGTTACATTGAGATATCCTTCTTATAGAGACACCCTTGTTACAGATACACCCTTGTAACAGAGACACCCTTGTTACATTGAGATATCCTTCTTATAGAGACACCCTTGTTACAGATACACCCTTGTTACAGATACAGCCTTGTTACAGAGACACCCTTGTTACATTGAGTTATCCTTCTTATAGAGACACCCTTGTTACAGAGATGCCCTTGTTACAGACACCCTTGTTACAGAGACGCCCCTGTTACAGATACACCCTTGTTACAGAGATGCCCTTGTTACAGATACACCTTTGTTACAGATACACCCTTGTTATAGAGACACCCTTGTTAAAGAGACACCCTTGTTAGAGAGACACCCCTGTTACAGAGACACCCTTGTTACAGAGACACCCTTGTTACAGAGATGCCCTTGTTACAGAGACACCCTTGTTACAGATACACCCTTGTTACAGATACACCCTTGTTACAGACACCCTTGTTACAGAGACACCCTTGTTACAGATACACCCTTGTTTCAGAGACACCCTTGTTACAGATACAGCCTTGTTACAGAGACACCCTTCTTAGAGAGACACCCCTGTTACAGAGACACCCTTGTTACAGATACACCCTTGTTACAGAGATGCCCTTGTTACAGATACACCCTTGTTACAGAGATGCCCTTGTTACAGATACATGTACACCCTTGTTACAGATACACCCTTGTTACAGAGATGCCCTTGTTACAGATACACCCTTGTTACAGATACACCTTTGTTATAGAGACACCCTTGTTAGAGAGACATCCCTGTTACAGAGACACCCTTGTTACAGATACACCCTTGTTACAGAGATGCCCTTGTTACAGATACACCCTTGTTACAGATACACCCTTGTTACAGAGATGCCCTTGTTACAGATACACCCTTGTTACAGAGACACCCTTGTTATAGAGACACCCTTGTTATAGAGACACCCTTGTTAGAGAGACATCCCTGTTACAGAGACACCCTTGTTACAGATACACCCTTGTTACAGAGATGCCCTTGTTACAGATACACCCTTGTTACAGATACACCCTTGTTACAGAGATGCCCTTGTTACAGATACACCCTTGTTACAGAGATGCCCTTGTTACAGATACACCCTTGTTACAGATACACCCTTGTTACAGAGACACCCTTGTTATAGAGACACCCTTGTTATAGAGACACCCTTGTTACAGATACACCCTTGTTACAGATACACCCTTGTGACATTGAGATATCCTTCTTATAGAGACACCCTTGTTACAGATACACCCTTGTTACAGAGACACCCTTGTTACAGATACACCCTTGTTACACTGAGATATCCTTCTTATGGAGACACCTTTGTTAGAGATTCATCCTTGATACAGAGACACCCTTGTTACAGAGACACCCTTGTTACAGAGACACCCTTGTTACAGAGACACCCTTGTTACAGATACACCCTTGTTACACTGAGATATCCTTCTTATAGAGACACCTTTGTTAGAGATACATCCTTGATACAGAAATCCTCGCAGTCTATGTTAAACTGTGACATGGTATCTTAGTGGGCTAGTTTAAGGTAAAGTGAATATGGTTTAATGTCATGTTTGTGCACTTAATCTGTCTGAATGTTTGACATTTGTTATAGTCCCAGCCCACTGAGATACCATGCCACACTTTTATCCCCTTAGGGTACCAACAAGTACCAACTTTTATGTCTTTTGGTATGATGTGGCCAGGGATCCAACCACAGACCTTCTACTCTTTGAGCACATGCTCTAAAAACTAGACCACAGAGGTGAACCAGAATAGTGAGTGAGTGAGTGAGTATGATTTTACGCCGCTTTTAGCAATATTCCAGCAATATCACGGCGGGGGACACCAGAAATGGGCTTCACACATTGTACCCATGTCGGGAATCGAACCTGGGTCTTCGGCGTGACGAGCGAACGCTTTAACCACTAGGCTACCCGACCGCCCCTGAACCAGAATAAATTATTCTTCATTTAATAACCAACATCCACAATATACATAAACTCCAGTACAACAGGCTTGTATTTACTTCCCACCATTGTTAACTGATACCGAACAAACTTTGGACACATAAACCAAACCTTCTGTAAAAATAAAGCCATGAAAAGAACTTGTAATGTACTTAAACATATTTAAGTAAAAACATGGAGATGACACAACTGGTAATTGCTTTTAACCAATAAATAATGCAGCCAATCCCTACATGCAACAGTCACTGGCAAACTCAGTGACAAAATATTTGATTCCAAAAAAGAATTGCCAGAATCAGAAATTCTCTGCAAAAAATCCAGACAGCAACTGGAGAGGAGTTTCCTGAAACACACCATGGCTGAGCCAGCAGTCAAGACATGAGCTGTAGAACTGTTTTTCATGTCCATGGTTTGCAGGTGTATGTCAAGATAAGTTGCCTGATAAAATTAGTTTCGTTTTTTGTGAAGTGCTCTTTGCTAGAAAGCTGGTTTAGTGTGATGAAATTTCTCAAAGTTTTCCACACAGCACAGAACTTCCACAGCCAAATCCTCCAGGACACGCTAGTTGACACCAAAGAGCAACTATACAATAATCCATCTTGAATTCGTTTTGGTTTCATGTGTGAAATAGATATTAACATAAATACCTGTGATAATTATCAAATAAAGAAAAATACCATCCTTAAAGATATTCCATTATCAGACATCACCAAATCATACATACATAATATAATACAAAGGTGACTTTCCTTGAAGCAAGAAACAAGGCTCCCTATAAATAATGTTAATTTAAATTCCCATCTTTGACACTTCTCCTCACATACTCCTGTTGTTGGCGTACCTGTTCAAAGCATCTGGCACATCCTCCTCTGTGTTAGAGTGATGCATCTTCTTGCTGTTCTGTCGGGGGGTCATAGGGGACTGAATGCCCCCCCGTTCCCCGCTGCTGTTTTCTCGTGATGTTGAGTTTGTTCCAGACCTCTCCCTGCGCCGTGTTGAGAATCTACTCACAAATGATGCATTGTTCTTCCAGGGTCTTTCTCTGTTACAACCAATGAGAGACTGTTAAACATGTCAAAGAGGAGCTTCACTCAGGCAAATGTGGCAGACCTTGCAAGTTATCAAGTCATACAAATTCAAATAACACTTTGGCAAATCAAAATTTGTTGGTATATCAATCTAACAATAGTGATTACCCATATAATATAGAGATAATTAATGTCTTGTCCATAGAGTAAATGAAGAAGTCACATAATGTGTAAAAATTACATTGCTGAACTATTCATTTTGAATTATGAGAATGCCTTTGGGTTCCATGTTCACTCAATTAAACATTAGGCTAGCCATTCCTTTGTCTATAGTAATATACTCAAGTCTACACATTTCTTTGTCTACAGTAATATACTGTAGGCAACTCATTTTGACTACAATATACCACCATTAGGACATGCAAGAGTTATCAGACTTTGACCATTGATCATCACCCAAGGGGGATAACTCACAAAGTTGGACTAGGGCATGGCACCATATGGGGCTTCCATGTAGCTAGGGACATGGAGTTCTCATCTGCTGCATAACACCGCCACAGGCACTGTATGAGCTGAGCAGCAGGTACTCGGCGACGGTTCAGGTGTTTCTGTCGTTGCTGTTGTTGCACTTTCAAGGCAAACCCTGAACCCAAAATACCCTGGCAAAGGTAATCAAGTAGCACATTACATTACATAACACACCCTATAGAATCTGTTTCAGCAGATAATTTCAAACTCAATATGTTAAGCAATTTTAAGGCATCATTGTTTTAATTGAGCTTCATTAAAATAGTGGCGCTTAACTGGTCACAAAATACAATGTATGTTCCTGACCAAAACATTTTAGTAAGTGAATGTTATCTAGCTAAATAGACTGGTCCGTCCATGGCAATACAACTGCCAGGTCACAGTTTTCTATACATTTGTGTAACATGTATGTTTGTGTATGTGCGGGAAAATGTTTGTGTGATGACATGAATAGTGTTGGACTTACAGCTGGCAATGCAAAGAATGATATTCCCAGAATGGCAGAAAAGGAAGCTATCAACTTTCCTCCCCAGGTGGTTGGCACCACATCCCCGTAGCCAACTGTACACAGAGTCACCTGCAACACAAGGTGTACATATTAACACAAGTGAGTACATTAACACAAGTGAGTAAAGTAACACAAGCATGTACATAAACACAAGCAAGTACATAAACACAAATGTACATATTAACACAAGTGCATACATTAACACAAGTGAGTACATTAACACAAGTACGTAAACACAAGCAAGTACATTAACACAAGTGTATATTCTAACACAAGGAAGTACATTAACACAAGTGAGTACATTAACACAAGTACGTAAACACAAGCAAGTACATTAACACAAATGTATATTCTAACACAAGCAAGTACTTTAACACAAGTGCATACATTAACACAAGTGCATACATTAACACAAGTGAGTAAAGTAACACATGTGAGTACATTAACACAAGTGCATACATTAACACAAGCAAGTACGTTAACACAAGGAAGTACATTAACACAATTGTATATATTAACACAAATGAGTTCATTAACACAAGTGCATACATTAACACAAGTGCATACATTAACACAAGTAAGGACATTAACAAGTGCATACATTAACACAAGTGAGTACATTAACACAAGTACGTAAACACAAGCAAGTACATAAACACAAGTGAGTACATTAACACAAGTTTATACATAAACACAAGTTTATACATTAACACAAGTGTTTACATGTACACAGCTTCACCTGGACAAAACTAAATTTTCAATGACACTATTAAAGATGATAAAGAGTCAATAAAACTGTTGAATCATTTTTCAGTTTAAAAAAAGGGATGAAGTGATCAAAACCATTTGAAGAAACCACTGGGCCAATGTTGATAGAAGATGCATGCCAAGTTTGGTCAGCCCAGATAGGCCAGGTGTTTGGGGGTACCAAACAAGTTGAAGATGCACCTGCATGCCAAGTTTGGTCTTCATCAGCCCAGATAGGCCAGGTGTTTAGGGGTACCAAACAAGTTGAAGATGCACCTGCATGCCAAGTTTGGTCAGCCCAGATAGGCCAGGTGTTTGGGGGTACCAAACAAGTTGAAGATGCACCTGCATGCCAAGTTTGGTCAGCCCAGATAGGCCAGGTGTTTGTGGGTACCAAACAAGTTGAAGATGCATCTGCATGCCAAGTTTGGTCAGCCCAGATAGGCCAGGTGTTTGGGGGTACCAAACAAGTTAGAGATGAACCTGCATGCCAAGTTTGGTCAGCCCAGATAGGCCAGGTGTTTGGGGGTACCAAACAAGTTGAAGATGCACCTGCATGCCAAGTTTGGTCAGCCCAGATAGGCCAGGTGTTTGTGGGTACCAAACAAGTTGAAGATGCATCTGCATGCCAAGTTTGGTCAGCCCAGATAGGCCAGGTGTTTGGGGGTACCAAACAAGTTGAAGATGCATCTGCATGCCAAGTTTGGTCAGCCCAGATAGGCCAGGTGTTTAGGGGTACCAAACAAGTTGAAGATGCACCTGCATGCCAAGTTTGGTCAGCCCAGATAGGCCAGGTGTTTGGGGGTACCAAACAAGTTGAAGATGCACCTGCATAGCAAGTTTGGTCTTCATCAGCCCAGTTAGGCCAGGTGTTCAGGGGTATTGAACAAGTTGAAGATGCACCTGCATGGCACTTTAATTATCACTGGTGCAGTGAATTGGATCCTCACACAATCCATCACACCTCCCAACACAATCCACCACACCTCCCCGCACGATCCACCACACCTCCCCTTACGATCCACCACACCTCCCAACACGATCCACCACACCTCCCAACATGATCCACCACACCTCCCCTTACGATCCACCACACCTCCCCACACAATCCACCACACCTCCCCACCACACCTCCTCACATGAGCCACCACACCTCCCCACACAATCCACCACACCTCCCCACCACACCTCCTCACTTGATCCACCACACCTCCCCGCAAGATCCACCACACCTCATCACATGAGCCACCACACCTCCTCACACAACTTGTGACCCCTCCTCACACGATCCACCAGACCTCCTCACTTGATCCACCACACCTCCACACATGATCCAGCTCAAATCCTCACACGATCCACCACACCTCCCCGCAAGATCCACCACACCTCATCACATGAGCCACCACACCTCCTCACACAACTTGTGAGCCCTCCTCACACGATCCACCAGACCTCCTCACTTGATCCACCACACCTCCACACATGATCCAGCTCAAATCCTCACACGATCCACCACACCTCCCCGCAAGATCCACCACACCTCATCACATGAGCCACCACACCTCCTCACACAACTTGTGAGCCCTCCTCACACGATCCACCACACCTCCACACATGATCCACCACACCTCACATGATCCACCACACCTCCACACATGATCCACCACACATCACATGATCCACCAGAGCTGCTCACTTGATCCACCACACATCACATGATCCACCACCCCTCCTCATACAATCCACCACCCCTCCTCACACAATCGACACCTCACATGACCTATCACACCTCACATGATCCACCACACCTCCATACTTGATCAACCAGACCTCCTCACTTGATCCACCACACCTCCACACATGATCCAGCTCAGATCCTCACACCATCCACCACACCTCCACACATGATCCACCAGACCTCACATGATCCACCACACCTCCACACATGATCCACCACACCTCCACACTTGATCAACCAGACCTCCTCACTTGATCCACCACACCTCCACACATGATCCAGCTCAAATCCTCACACCATCCACCACACCTCCACACATGATCCACTACACATCACATGATCCACCACACCTCCACACATGATCCAGCTCAAATCCTCACACCATCCACCACACCTCCACACATGATCCACTACACATCACATGATCCACCACACCTCCACACATGATCCAGCTCAAATCCTCACACCATCCACCACACCTCCACACATGATCCACTACACATCACATGATCCACCACACCTCCACACATGATCCAGCTCAAATCCTCACACCATCCACCACACCTCCACACATGATCCACCACACATCACATGATCCACCACACCTCCTCACTTGATCCACCACACATCACATGATCCACCACCCCTCCTCATACAATCCACCACCCCTCCTCACACAATCCACACCTCACATGACCTATCACACCTCACATGAGATGTTTTCCACAACATGATAGAGGACAAACAGAGTGGTAACTACTCAGTCCATCTCCATATTCAGTGGTGCCCACCAAGCCCAGGGAATTCAATACAAACTTCACCATGTCTCCATATTAAGCTTCATCCATATTCAAGCATGTGTCTAGCCACGTAATAAGCATTCAGTATGGTCACCTCCAGTCCCTTGAGATTGTGTAACTCGGATTATCATGCACTACCACTTGTAAACTGTCTTTGAATTGTCAACATTAGGGTGTGGGGTGTCTCTAGCAATCATTGGCTTTGTAGAAGATGCAGATGCTTTCAACGGCTTTTAACATGTTTGCATTCCATTTTAAATGTCATCCACTATTATACTACTCAACATCTGCTGAGGACCATATCTTTAACCAAGGATCACTATTTTTGTCCTTAGCAAAGGTTGAGAAGTACATGTTGAATTATAAACAGGCTATTATAATAATAAAAGAAATAATACCCAACTAATGGATACAAAGTTCTTGTTTTTCAAAGCTTTGTGCAACATGTCTTGCCTCCTGCCTTTGGGTATTTGAAGGAAAGAATCTGCAAAGAAATTATTGAATTGGTACGGCCTTTATCTAATTATTTTTCTACCTTCTCCCAACCAGGATTTAAAAAGAATTGAGAATGGTCTGCCCTAACATGGGATTGTTAAATTTGAAGCAGGTCAGTCTTGGTACTAACACTAATGATGATTCATTCCTACTGGGCTAATGGACAAACCTACCAAACATGGTCAATGTGTCATCGATCAAAAGATCTTGCCGACAAGCCCAATCTTGTTCAGTTGAAATCAAGCTAATTCCTATATTAGCTGGAGCTGATCTGAGTAATCCTTGTCTGAGACTTAATCATTGGGATCCATATTGATATGAGGGAGGCACATAGATGCTTCAGTTTGGCCAAGTGTTGCTAGTGGTTGCGAGTTCTGTAACTGGTCGCACATCTATGATAAATGTCCTTTGGCAGGTACAGTTTTAATGGGCTAAACATTAACGACATCCCTGGTATTGAACCTAGTGTCTCTAAACTCTCTCTCCCAAACAAGATGTTGTAATAGCTTGTTTGTTGGTTAATACCACATCAGCAATTTTCCAACAATATCAAGGCGAGTCTGGATCAGATAACACAGCAATTGATATTTTGGATGATCCACAATATTGGGGTAGGATGACATGCTATCAACAAGTCACTGAGCCAGCCCACCTGATTTGTTAAGTCATCTCCAAAGACAAGCATAGTTTGCTGGGGACCATGTCTAACCCTGATTCCCAACAGGGAAACATATACTTGGAAGGGGTGATTCAGGTGACCCAGGGAAAGTTCTCCTTGTCCAATTTCCCAGGGATAAGTATGTCCATGGAACTATTCCTGAGGGAAGCATGTCCTTGGTCAACTATTCCTGGGGAAAATATGTCCTTGGTCAACTATTCCTGGGGAAAGTATGTCCTTGGTCAACTATTCCTGGGGAAAGTATGTCCTTGGAACTATTCCTGGGGAAAATATGTCCTTGGTCAACTATTCCTGGGGAAAGCATGTCCTTGGTAAACTATTCCTGGGGAAAGTGTGTCCTTGGAACTATTCCTGGGGAAAGTATGTCCTTGGAACTATTCCTGGGGAAAATATGTCCTTGGTCAACTATTCCTGGGGAAAGTGTGTCCTTGGAACTATTCCTGGAGAAAGTATGTTCTTGGTCAACTTTTCCTTGGGAAAGTATGTCCTTGGTCAACTATTCCTGGGGAAAGTATGTCCTTGGTCAACTATTCCTGGGAAAAGTATGTCCTTGGTCAACTATTCCTGGGGAAAGTATGTCCTTGGTAAACTATTCCTGGGGAAAGTGTGT